GCTTCGTTTTTTTGCTTACTGCAGTTTATTCGCTCAAATGTCTTTGTGAAAATGTGTAGGGTTGTTACATTCACCGGTTTTGGATTCCATCCTTAATCAACTGCGCTGTTTTGTTGGACTGGACATAAAAAGTTTAAGTGGCTATGAAAGTTTATTTGAGATGTTTTATGTGGTCGTTTAACTTGTGATATTTTTTTAATACGGGAAGTTATGTGTAAAACTTTGCTAAATCGTTTTACTCGTGATGTTGTTTTGTTGATTGTTACCTGCCGTAAAACTGGCAAATGATTAAATCAGAATAGTAGAGTAATTATCATTGTACAGTCTAAAGTTTTGACTTTTAAGAATCTTTATCTGTTATACTGTCTGGTTGTTTATGCCTTATTACACACAGTAAATGGTTGCCAATTATCTTGTTCCGTTTACCAATCTCAGTTTCAGCCGAATTAATCCTACACTTTGCCGTACTTTTTTACGACTGTTCATTTTTGCTTGCTAGCAATCTGTTAAGTTCCGAATTGTTTTCGGAAGACTTTAGACCTGAAAGGCAAGGAATTTATGAATTAGTTAAAAATGTGAGGAAATGCAGGTAATTTTTTGAATTGGGTGCTTTTCTTTAATCTGATTCAAACCACAGCTTTATCTGCAAAATCAAGAAAAAAGAGGCAAAATCCAAATTTGCCACTTGAGGTGCTGACAGTAACTTGAGCCTTACAGCAGCACATTTTAAAGTTAAGACTCAATCTGAGATAAAGGAAAATGTTGACCACCCTGCAAATTGTGCGATAAACTTTTAAAGGCTCGAAAAGCTATAATATTTTGTCCATTAGCTATGTAAGAGCTTAGCGAAAGATTCTGTCTATTCACTTACCTATCCAACTGTAATCTGAAAATTAGTACATTTGAGCAATTAAGAAAAGTAAATATTGAACAAACCTGGCATAAAAAATTAAATTAGAAGTTTTACAGTGAAAAGTTAAAAAAGTTAAAAAGCAAACAAGAAGAGTAGAAGAAAACGTGGGTACTATTAGCGGATAAATGAAATGCGCTTCTTGTATAGCTGTGTAATGGAGAGTATATTGTATCAGTAACAGGTGGTACAGAAAATCCTAAATCAGTTATCTCAGTCCACATCACGATTTTATGGTTAAGAGTTTAGCTGTAAAACACTAAAGGCAGCCAAAGAGTTCTCAGGCACAGCAAACCATTTTCTGGACAAATTAAAGTCTGGAGGTTGGCGGATGGCATCTGCTTCACGAGAGTAAACTCAACAAACTGTTTTTCTTTTCACCAAATTTTCTGAACAAAATTATATAAATTCTTTTCACCATGTACCAATCTTGCTATCTTTCCAATAATTAGAAATTCTTGTCGAATGCATTATTCCATGTTGATCAAAAAAACACCGGTTTTCATTCCTTCTCTTTGACATTGCTGAATAAAACCTGGAGTCCAGAACCGTGCGCCTTGCACACAGTACCAATGTCCTATTCTGCCCTGCACTATTTGAAGTCTTTTTTTTCCCCAAATAAGTCGGTTCTATTGCTTGTAGCACTGTAAAATCTCCTGCATACAGTAGACAAAAAAGTAATCACTATTTTGTGACAAACAGCTACCTCTATTAGCTGCAGTTAACTCCGAAGATGTTCACTTCCCAACTTTGAACAACTCATGACTTTTCGGTAAAGACTGGAACGGATGAATTCCGCAAACGACCGTAGCCGCAGTGGAAAATGAATGGAAGCCACTAGCTGACTCTCGCCGGTCACTCTGAAGTATTTTCGCAGAGCTCAATAGGCAAGACTAAAAAACTTTAAGTATTAATGCAATCATCAAAATAGGTTCAGCAGATTCGTTTAAAAAACATTGCATAATTACAAATTTTCTAATTGAGGATATTGCGTCTGCAACTTTTTATTGAAATATATCAGCAGATGCTCAAAAATTCTTAACTTTTCTTACTGCTGGTCGTGTCGTGAAACCCGATTTGAATTTTTTCCTTCAAGCCTGTTTACCTTAATTTATATTTTCTTAGTCTTCTGGCGTCTCACGGCACTTGTCTTTTGAGAGTGTTTTAATGTACAGAGTTCAAGACAGTTATTCAAAATTTTATTGGATAAAGTAGAAAAGAATGTATATCAAGAATGCAATTTTTAGATATATAACCAAGCAGTACGAGATAAAAAGAAAATTATGAATTACCAAAACAGAAGCATATACAATAATGAGTAGAGGCATTTGCGTAAAATTGGAACACCGAAACCGCAATTCCTTCTTCTAATTTAATTTTGGAGCTGACACCCTTTGCTTACAGCATTCATTTATACCTTTTCAATTCATGCAATAATGGCGCCATTTGTAGGCTGTAATATCGTCATACATGATATTTTAGAAGATAAACTGATCGGGCAGGTGACAATACACTGGTTCCCCGAAATTAACCTTTGTACCGGATCTGTTGCGATGTTTCACAACAGATCGCTCCCAAAAAACTGACTGTGAATGATGCTTCAATGAGTCTTCATACAGGGCTGGCAATAAGGTATGTAAAAGTGGCATTCTGTCTTCAAATATATAACACCAAGCTTCGGTGGGAAATTTTGAAGCGATGGCGGAAGTCTTTCAGTAGAACTAAACGAAAGCAGTTTTTTGAAGTTCGTACTGCTGGGAAAATTCCAAAAATTTGCAGTCACTTTTTCGATTTATTTTTCCGGCAGTATCTCCATGAGCAGTTTTTTGAAGTTCGTACTGTTGGGAAAACTCCAAAAATTTGCAGTCACTTTTTCGACTTATTTTTCCGGCAGTATTTTCATGAGCAGTTTTTTGAAGTTCGTACTATTGGGAAAATTCCAAAAATTTGCAGTCACTTTTTCGACTTATTTTTCCGGCAGTATTTCAATGGCGTCCTTTGGTTGCTTCTGATTTACTGGGTTATCAGCTTAATCTGTTGATATTTTGCTAGTGTTCTTTCGTCTTTTTTGATGATCAGTAGTATCTTTCGCATACCTCTTACTGCTGGTGCGAAGACAAGGTTTTCTTCCTGTACTGTGAGAATGCATGATGAATCCCCAACAAATCAGGCTTGTTTTTAAAACGTGTTTTTGATCCCGAGCTGTAATAACCGAAAAAAATGAGGTAAAATTTGTACTTGAGTTCAAAGAGCCTTATAAGTGAAGCATTTCATTATGCATTTTATTTTGAAGGCATCATTGCATGGTTTTTTTTTTACACTTTGTTAAGAGAATGCGGACTATGGCAATTGTGTTAGTTTGTACTTATGACGTTCGTTCTGCCAGTCTTGGATTAATGCTGTCTGCTTTATGCTTTTTGAAAGTGGCTAACGAACATTGCTGAGGAATCTGTTGAGGTTTTCAGATGTGAAAAAAAAGGAAGCTACTTAAATTAAGATACTGATTATATTCGAGTGAATTTCGATTTTGAATGGTAAAGTCAGTAGGCAGTTGCTGCTTGTTTAGATGGCGTTGAACTGAAATTTTACATCAAAAGAAAAAAATTAGTTTGTATTGGTAGCTCTTGATTGACAAAGGAGCCAAAGTCGTTGGGATTGATCTGTTTTGTTATTGATACTTTCACCCGTTCGAGTCTGGTGTTACTCTAATTATTGTTATTACTAATTTCATTATTATTTTTTATTTTTTCACACAATACATTTTTTGAGTATGAGATTTCTTCCTCAGCACGTCTACGACTATTATTTTTCATGTCTTTGCAAAAAGCCCGTTTTTCTAAGCAGTAACAGCTGTAGACGGCAGTGTTTTTCGCTGAGGTAATGTTGTTCAAGGTTTGAAGACAACGTATCTTATATTTATCGTTTGTTTAGAGCCTCACCTTATAGTTCCATTTTCACCACGTAAAATTTTACATTGGTATTTGTTTCGCGAAAAACGTTGCGATGTAATCTGTTTGTTACTCGGCTTATTCGTTCAAAAAGGTTTTACACTAATTCTTTCTTGAAAAGAACGACGGTTTTTATGAATTGCTGCTTAATGGCAACCAACCTTTAAAAAAGTAGGGTTTGATAATAATTTAACGTTTGTATTGTGTGCATTACTTCGCAGGCACTTTTTAATATGACGCCTTTACAATCAATCAGTTTATCTTGATTTAATTTTTTAAGACTGTGTACCATTAATTTCTCTTTGAAAATTCTAGTAGTGATAAAATTTTCATTCAAAATATACACATAGATGTATAGTTGTTTATTTATTTATGTACTCATGTATATTTTATATTACCATACGTACTTGGAATTTTGGTCTTTTCAGGGTTTACTCTGTTCTTTTTGAGAGGGTATACCGATTTGTAGGATAGCTTGGGTGAGGGACTGTTGGTAAGAATGCATTTAAATCGCTTTGAAGAAACACGAATTCATTGGGTAAATTAGCTAGTCTATTTTTTTTTGATTAGGTTAAATGAAAGGGGGTAGAAAAGTAGGTAAGTATGCGGAGAGGAAGTCATTATTGCTAAGCTAGATTTCAAACTTTTTGAAAGATGCTTTGTGATTGGAGGTTCCAGGATACGAGATAATCAAATTTCTCTGCTACTTGAAGCTGTAGACGAGCAGCCACGGTTCTTGTTGGATATGTATTTCCTATCAAGATTGTACTTTCATCATCTACAGTTGTTGGCTTTTTTGTCTCAATTTTACTGTGGAGTTTGCTAATTTCATTTATTTGTTGTGTTACTTTTATTTTCATTTGAGAAAGCATTTGTCAGTAATTTCTGAAACGCACTTTACGTCAATGTTTTCTGTTATTTAATTTGTGAATTTTCTTGTTAAAAATTTTTCAGTGGTATTTTTGTACCTTAATTTGAATTAATTTTGACTAAAAATCGAACTGTTTGTTTGGATTTCTACGTTCTTTCGAGACAATGCTTCCAGTTGCCACTAAAGTTAGAAGGTGTTGTAGCAATTTTACATCTTGGTTATTGGCATGTATGGGTGAAGTTTTTTAGGCTCGATGTGGTCGCATTAAGCTGCTAGTGAAATTGGAAACGAGTTTTCAGGATGGGAAGGAAAATTTTTGTTGTGAGGCACGGTGAAAGATGTGATTATCACTTCAGAAAAAGAGGTACATGTTGTGATTTCAAGTTGTTTTTAGATTTTATTTGGTTGCAGAATGGTTTTAAAGATCGGCAGTTGTCTCATTTGTCTCATTGTTCACCTGATGCAGAAAATTTTTATAGTTTTTGAACTCGTACTTAGTCGAGTTTGTGGGTAGCTATTATGAGAATTTCTACGTGTAGAGCTGGTTGGTAGGAGTGGTTTTATTTGATTTGTGAGCGATAAATATTTTTGTTGAAATGGTTACCGATATGGAGCTGCAATTTTTTCAAGGCATACAGTGGGTAAAATTTGCTTTTGATGCTGCCGGACGATACACAAGGTTTAATGAAGAGTTGCCAACAACTTTGCCGCAGCGTCGAGCTGGTTTTCAGGAGTATGTTGCTGATACGCCTATTACTGAACATGGATATTCGTTGGCAGTGAAATGTGGTAATCTTTCTTTTCGGATTTCCAGCATTTAAGAGAAGTAAAGTAATATTTTGCTTATCATTTCTTGCTGAGTTGTTTTTGTTCTTTTTGTTATGGTCTTAAAATAGAAAAAAATCTATGAGATTTTCTTAGATTTATTCTTGCTGAAACTAACTTTTTATGCTTATTACCTGTTGGGTGGCCGTTTGAGGATTATTCCAGCGTTCATATCAACTGTGACAATACAGTAAAAGAACCGCCTATTCAGCAGTTTTGACTAGTAAATTAATAAGTTATAACTCTGGTCAGGAGCATCACGTTTAGGTGAGAACTTCGTCAAAAATGGATATACGATAGACGTTATTTATGCCTCTCCTGCTTTCCGATGCATTCAGACTGCTCAAGGGATTCTTGATGGTAAGATATTTGTTTTCTTTCTCTCTTTCACACGAGTTAGTTTTTTTTTGTTTTCCTAGCCAGTCTCGATCATTAGCTCAGGTACTAAACACGCTTTGTTTAGGTATGAAAAACAGCAATCCCATCTGTGTTGAACCTGGTTTGTTTCAATGGACACGCTGGTGTAAACATGGAATAATGCCCGTATGGCTTGAACCTGAAGAATTAAAGCTTGATGGTTATAATGTGGATACATCTTACAAGGCATTTGATTCCATTGAGGGTTTGGATATGAAGGAAACTTTGGAGGATTACTACCAGCGTTCATACCAACTAGTAAAGAAAATTTTAAATAGGCATACCGAAGGTAGTTTGCTAGTCTGTTTATAAAAATTTCAATTTAAGTTCATTATAATTGGATTTCCTATTCCTCTCGAGAATTTCTCGGTTTTCCAAGCTAGCGGTCTCTTAATTCTTGTATTGGTATTTTTTATTTAGGATCCATCTTGCTTGTGGCTCATGCAGGGTCTCTAGATACTCTAACAAGGCAACTTTGCGGTGGTGCACCATTATCCAGGGAATCATTTTCGGCTTTTCTTCACAAAACTTCTTACCTTTCCTGCTGTTGTGCAGATGAGCGTCCCGATAACAGTTGGAAATTCATCGATTCACCTATACCACTTTTGGCATATACAGGTTTAGATAACTGCGATGAGTAGTCTAAACACCGGTGCCGGAAGAGGGGATGGTAGTTTTCATTAGTTACAAAAAACTGTATGTTTTTTTTCTTATTGAATCTAGTTTCAGCCAAGATGTATAGCGGCTGTTCTTCTCAATTTCATGATAGTCATTTTTCGTCGTTACTTCGTTTCTGCTATTTAGATCCCTCTCCGCTTTAGACTTCCGGATTTTCTCTGCCAGCTAGTGATTGCGAGTTGCTACTTTTGAATAACTGTTATGCTCACACTCATTTACACACTGTGGTCGTTTATTCTTTTCTAGTCTGAATTGTTTACCAAATGAGTCTGTATTTATTTCTCACCGATCTGTTGGATTACTAAAAGGCGAAGTTGGCAAGCGCGTTGTAATGTTATTGTTGAGTGCTACATAAATTTCCCTTCAGCATCAGTGTTTTAAAATTATAGAGCTGCAAAAAAAGGATACAATTTTGCTTTCAGATTTGACTTTTGATTGTAAGAAGGATTAATTGTTTCCAAGTGTCATCATTTAAGTAGGCTATATTTGTTAGGTTCAGGAAGATGGCAGAAAGGAGACATAATTTTCCGTTGAACGTGATTTTAAGATTGTTATTTTAGGTACTTTAGGATTCATAGTGCTCTGCAAAAGTAAGATTTGTTACACTTAATTTTTTGTTAAACTCGAATTTGATATTACCCTCCTCATCGCAAGGCAAACTTTGCGAGGTTTACAGCAATTCGGAAATGTATCTGTATTTACTTTGTTTACTTAATTGGAGATTAAGGAGGTCATACTTGGCAAGACGTAGGAGGGAATTGGATTGAATTTACGCATGTTTGAATGAAATGAATTGTTAGTTGGGATTAATTTAAATTCAGTGTGGTGTCTGCGGTATACGACGTATATGTAGAATATGTAGAATTGAACACGGTCGGTAATTGTATGATATTCTAGTGCCGGTGAGGCTGTAAAGATGAAATTTGATTATTGGAAGGAATAAAATTTGTACCCTGTTCGTTTTTCCATTAGCTGACTTGCATACATTGAAGTTAACTTGGGACATGTTTGAGATGTATTATTCACTAGTGGAGTTTTTACCTACCGTTTTAGGAAGGCAGAGTTTGTAAAAATGTCTTTTGAGAATCAGAAGTTGCTTTCAGGTAGCACTGGTGTTCACGTTAATGTTTTATCGACGCTTTTCAGTAGTCGACAAAGAGTGCAAAACTGGGGAATTGAAGAGCAAAATAATAATTTTTTAGGAAAATCTTGTGGAGAAGGCAGTTGTTTGGCGGAATACTTGGCATTGATTAGGGAGGTCGCTGAAGGTACAAAGCTTGTAATCGCATTGTGAAGTTCGTAACAAATTATTTTTATTTTGCAAAACGTTCGCAGCATTTTACTTTAATGCTCTGAGGTGTTTTTTTACCAGGAAGTCCACCAAGCTTAAGTTAGAGTCAAGACAGACGAAGAAGGCGTTTATCTTTTGGCTCGTCTATTGTTCTTGCAGACAAAGTTAAAAAGAAGTTGAGAAATGTGCGCTGATTTTCTTTTCAAACAACAGTTCTGCATTTTCTTTTTCCAGTTCTTTTCTTAAGAAAACTCATTTCTTTTGCACTTGTTACTTTCAAAACAGAATCATATAATCAATTCAGCAAAAAAAAAAAAAAAAAAAAAAAAAAAAA